GATCTACATGAACAACCTGGATGTGAGTGGGGGTAATGAAGGGCAAGGTTCGAGGGAAAGAGAGCTTAGGGGAGCGGGAGATCCCAGCTGGATCAAGAACAGAGAGGGAGAACAAGGAATAAGAGACCATGATAAATGAAGACCACATGAGAATAGGAAGAAGCAAAGTGCTAGAGAGGCCCACAGAAACCCACAAAGATACCTCCACAACAGACTGCTGGCAATGGTCGAGAGACAGCCCGAACTGACCTACTCTGGTGATGGGATGGCCAAACACCCTAATTGATGTGCTAGAAACCTCATTCAATGACTGAGGGAACCGGAGGCAGAGATCCATGGCCAGGCCCCAGGTGGAGCTCCAGGAGTCCAATTGGTGAGAAAGAGGAGGGTTTGTATGAGCGAGAATTGTTGAGACCAAGATTGGAAAAAGCACAGGGACAAATAGCCAAAGGAATGGAAACACATGAACTATGAACCAATAGCTGAGGAGCCCCCAACTGGATCAGGCCCTCTGGATAAGTGAGGCAGTTGATTAGCTTGATCTGTTTGGGAGGCATCCAGGCAGTGGGACCAGGACCTGTCCTCAGTGCATGTGCTGGCTGTTTGGAACCTGGGGCTTATACAGGGACACTTGGCTCAGCCTGGGAGGAGGGGACTGGACCTGCCTGGACTGAATCTACCAAGTTGAACTCAATCCTCAGGGGATTCTTTGCCCTGGAGGAGATGGGAATGGGGGGGGCTGGGGGGAAGGGGGGGGAAAACAAGGGAATCCATGACTGATATGTAAAATTAAATTAAAGTATAAAAAAATTAAAAAAAAAAACTAAAAAAAAAGAAAAAGGGAAAAAAGAAATCCCAATCAAAATCCCCATGGCATTCTTTACATTAATTATCAAATTCATATGGAACCCTAAGTCTCCCCATAGCCAAAGTAACATTGATCAAAAAAGAACAGTGCTGGGGGGAATCACTGTTCCAGACTTGAAGCTGTATTGCAGAGCTAAAGTAATATTTAACAAATAAAGCATGATACTGGAACAGAAATGAACATGTAGAACAACAAAACAAAATAGAAGACTCAAACATGAATACACATAACTACAGCCACCACATATTTGACAAAATATGCCATATGTACACACTAGCAAATAGCATCATCAACAAACAATACTGGAAAAACCAGATGCTTGCAGGAAAAAGAATGGATTTAGACTCTTATCTATCATCCTGCACAAAAATCAACTCAATTGGATTAAAGACTTCAGTGTGAAACCTGATACACCGAAAACTCCTGGATAAAAATATATGCAGTCTGCTGTAAATATGTAGATGTAAGATAATGGTTCCAATAGGATTCTACTTGCTCAAGCTTTAAGGCCAACAATTGACAAGTGGGACCTCATAAAACTAAAAAGCTTCTGTACTGAAAAGAAAGCCACAGAGTGGGATGGGATCTTTCCCATTTATACAGATGACATAGGATTAATATTCCAGAATTACATAAATATATAAATGTTATATGGTGGATTGACCTTATGTACTTACATACCTTATATACTTACATTCCATTGACTGCTCACCAAAAGCAGCCTCATGAGAGAAAGATCAGATAAGACCTGCAGATATTGTATGCTGTCTTTTATCAGAAACTTTTATACTCGAATGATGGGCTCACAAGCAAAGAGACAATGGTAGCATGGATTAAAATTAGTTGTAAGCTCTTTGTATATTCAAAAACCATAAAGCTAAGAAACCAAATGTCCCAATTTACAAAATAGGCTATGAGTCTGAATAAAGAGTTCTCAAAGCAAAAAAATGGTGCTCTTGCAGAAAGTTAAAGGTTGATCCTCAGCATCCATATGTAGCTCACGGTGGTTGGTTTCCCCAGTTCTAGGGATCTGGCACGGTACTCTTGCCCCAAGAGGCACTGCATGCAGGTGGTGCACTTACATACACTCAGGCAAAACACTTAGACATATAAAATAAAAATAAACAATTCTAAAAAAAAAAAAGTGTCAGGCTTGGTAAACATACCTTTAAGTTATTGGTCTGTGAAGTATAAGAGAATCCCAAACAATATAGACTCCTGCCTTTGCCCTTGGTTGCTTCCCAGAAATCAAAGGTAATGCCCCATTGCTAAATACACTGCATACTCAGACACTTAGGACAAAGGATTGGAAGAATTGAGCTGGATCTGATCTATAAGTCTCTTCCTTAAGGATTAGCTCTTATCATACTGGAAGGATATAGGAGAACTGTCAATGAAGAAAAGCAACCACTAGTTCTGCCCAGCTATAATGCTTACAAACCACAATGACTGGAGCAACAAGATATCCTAAAAGATGCAGCAGTGACATTTGTATCCTAGTGAGTAATCAACAGACTATCTAATTGGAATGTATGACCACACAAAAGGAGGACTTCATGTCTGCTAGAGTAAACCTATTTTACTACCAATGAGATGAGATGAGATGCTGTGGACCCTGAACAAGAACCTACTATTGCCACTTTCCTAAAACAGTAACACTTTTACTACATTCTAAATACCCAACCTTATGCCCACAGATAAGTGTAGCTGACACACCTTATCAAAGAAGTTTGATTTGTAGCAGATGGACACCATTACAGGTATCCAAAACTGGTCAAAATGCAGAGAACAACTGACCGTGGGGTGACCAACCATCACTGATAATCTGCAAAACAATTCCAAAACCTAAGGTTCATTGATAATGATGAAAGAGGGGCCAGAAAGATTGCAAGAGCCAGAGGAGCAGGACATCTCCTGTAATACAGAGTCTTCTATATATTATAGAGAAGCTGCACCTAAGAAGCGATGAATATGATCACTAAACAAGACCAGCACAGTGCCCCACTGGTTGCCATGCCAGTCTGGATGGGGAAATATCACAAGGCCCCATCCCTAAAGGAAAAGCTGCAGACAATGGCTGCTGAAAGAGGGAGAATGAATCTTCTCTAGGGATGATCCGCCCCCTGATAGGTTATCCAATCCCAAGAGATCAACCCTAAACACATAGATATAGGAGCAATCGCAAAGGGACTCGGCAGGCTTTATTTAAAAATTTGTGTGTGTATGGAACAATAATAATTAAAGATCAGAGGCCATGAATTTAAGAGGGGTTGGGAGAATTGGAAGGAGGAGAGGAAGTGTGTGTGTGTGGGGGGGGATGATATAAATACACTACTCATGTGGGGAATTCTAAGAAATAAATTAAAAATAAGATTTTCTCCAACAAATAAATTAATCCATTATTTTCAAAATTAAGCCTTGTATGGGTTCTCAGGTCCAGGAAAGCATGTAGCCAGATTCTTTGCCAGAATATAGTCTGAATAGCAACTAGCCCAAGTGTTTTCTAGACTCCTCATTCCCTTCTATAGCCTCATGGGCTGGCCCTCCACTGTGTGTGTGCACTTCCTTCGACATTCTTGTATTCTAAGCTTGAACCAGGATGGCCTATTCTGTCCTGCTCACAGTGTCCAAGAGGTAAGCCCGAAGTTCTAAACCCCTCCATCTTCCTCTGCAAACCAATTCCAAATGCCAAAGATCAGGTTCATCACAACCACCACCTTGCTTTTGCTACCCGCTTTCTGTTAATTACTTGTTTCCTTGCTGCCGTAAAACACCGGACTCAACAACAAGGAGAAAGGGTTTATTTTCATTCACAAGTCTGAGGGTACGGACCATTACAAAGAGAATATCATGCCAGACAGGAGTTGGAGGCACTTACTCAGATTGACTCTATAGTCATGAAGCAGAGAAAGATAAATGATGGTGCTCAATTAATTTTCTTCTTTGCATTAACTCCAGGACAAGGGCACATGGAATGCTTCGCCCAGAGTTAAGAATGGATCTTTCTTTATTAATTGAATTTAGATAATACCTCATAGGCCTCCTCAAGGGAGTGTTTCCTATGGGACTCTGAATATGGTCACATTAGCAATCAGTATTAACCATCACAAGAGACTTTTAAAATAAAGTTATGAAACACATTAGCAAACAGACAAAGGTACCAAGTTTCAAGGGAGGGAAAGTCATATTTGTTAAAGAGACTGAAAGGATTTTCTGAAAGGTTCAATGTCACCTGTGACTCACAAGTGACAAAGAGGCACGCAAGAGGTAGGAAAGCCAAGGGAACTCGTGGATGCAAGCAAATGCTTGGTGTGAGGAGGAGGAGGAGAATCAGCCTTTTGGAGTGTTTTGTGCTTACAGAGCATGCTTACATTAAATTCATCAGTTGTTGGCTAACGAGGCTGGCCATAAAGTCATCTTGACCTTGGCTGTCTTAATAACAGATGGGTTCACTTACAACACAGCCCATCACTCAAACTCAGCAGCCTGGTTACCCTCTGGTTCCAAATGTGCACTGGGACCTCTAAACTTCATAGGTATTGCTCTAGCTAGGGATAGAGTCAAAGGATCCTGCATATTGAGTGGTCACAGAAATGTGTTAGGGCCTTGCTTACTGCAACAATCCACAAGACTCATGCCTGCTATTTCCCCACTTAGAACAAGCTGCCAAACTCAGTGGGGTTAAGATAACCTTGAGCTTGAGTCTGGGATTCAAAACCTAAGGAGGAATGAGATCAGGGCTTATCTCATGAGAGGTTGAGTAAGCAGGGCCAGGGCCAGAGCAGCTGCTTTAGAGTAGCAATACAGAAAACAAAATCAAACAGTGGGTCTCTTCAGGTGACGATGCTGAGCTGCAAATGATGGATTTTCATACTGAGATTGTGGCAGCTTTAATATCCAAGATAGCCTTCTTAGATTCTGAATGGGGAGAGACAGCAAGTGCAACATGTATCTAATTTTTCTCATTCTATTAATTTTAATTGATGTACCCTTTTAGTGCAATTCAAGCATCATAATATGCATGTGTGTGAGGTGTGTGTGTGTGCGCGTTTGTTGTAAGGTAGGAGGGAGGGCCCTTTGCTGCTTTGTTGTTTTGTTCCTGTGCACTGAAGTGGCCTTTAGAAGGTGGCTTTTGTGTGCAGCCTAGAGACCTGGTTTCAAATGCCAGCAGGAGCATCTTCAGGCTCATTAATAATGGAGGCGTCTGACAGGGGCAGCTTCGCTTGCTTTGTTTCCACTGTAGATGAAAGGGGACATGGATCTTTCTGTTTTGCCCAATAACAACCATCCTGACAAATTCCTGCAGCTTGACGTGAAGTCTTTAATGAGGAACTCAACCCTTCTGCAGGCTAGCCTCGCGAGATTTCCGGGTGGAAATTTTCCTGCTACACAACACTGGCAAAACGTTGTCTACTCCCAGGTAAGATCGAAGGACCTATAAATACAGGTGGGGAGCTTGTTTCTTTCTCATTATATGACATTTTCTCATTCCTGCGAAGGAGGCTTGGGGTGGGGGGTACCTAGCAGCTGCTTCTTCCTCCCCACCCCTTTCTGTAAGCTTTGCGCAAAGAAGTGCAAATTCTCCCTCCGATTCACTCCCCTCCAATCCCTGACTGCTCTGCCTGTCTTTGTTCCAAATGTGCGTAGCTCTTCTTTACTCCTTGCCTTCAGAACATTTCAAAGCAACTGTTTTCAAATAAGATTCGGGGGGCGGGGGGGGGGGGGCGGGAGAAATACTTAAACTCTGTCTGTTGCTGTGAGCTATGCATAAAATATCAAATGCTTACAGCGCAAGGGTGTACCTGCCTCTGAGAAAGCCTGAGCCTAGCCTCTGCCGCATTTAGAGCCCCCTTCCTTTGATACAGAAGAGTGAAGGGTACGGATGAGTGACGGAGAAAGATTGGCTGGGCTCCATCTTGGAAAGGAAATGGCTCTCAGCTTAGACGCGCCTCTGCCACAGGTGTCCGCATGGACCAGCCATAGGAATAAGACCTTCCAATCTCATGCAGATCTCACCGCTCTTGTTCTTTCACAAAAGAATGCAGCTGATGGGTTCCATCTGCGGAGAGCCACACAAAGGAGGCCCCCGCTGAGGCTAATCAAACAGGGATAATCTTGTTTTAAGATGTGGAGGCCAATGGCGTTGAGGGTTTACTCTAGGTAGCAAGAGGAAAGGGCATTTCATTTCAGAAACGATGGGACTGTGCTACAAGCCCCTGTTAAGTCCTTAAATCCTTTGGAGCGTTTAAATTCCGTGGACAGAAATGTGTTTGCTTTTAAGAACAGTGGCTACTCGTGAGTCCTGGTGTACAAGGCCTATTTCATGCTGCGGTTGTGGGCTCCTTGGAACATGCGTCATGAGTTCATTCAGAGTCAGATACACTCAAATGATTATGTAAATTGCCTCTACTCTATAAAGGGTTCAGTCTATTTCCATTATAAGTCAGCCTGCTATCACAACTGAATGTTGTTGTTTTTAATTTTGCGTACAGTCTTTGAACTCCTCAAAGCCTTGCGGCTTTCTACGCACACCCACTTACCATTGTTTTGTGTTTTGCTTGGTTAAATGAAATAAAGTCCCTTCTTTATCTCATTTTTTTATGCCAGAGAACAAAAGGATTAAAATTATTTCAGAAAATCTTGCCCCTCCTCCACCCCCCACTCTGTGAAGTACCTTGTAAGGACACATAGCCAATAGACTGTTCTGGACTGTGACACAGCAATCTTTCTAGCATGTTTTGTTCAGTGCTGTGGTTGGTGAACTGCCTCCATTTGGAATTTCACAACTAAAACTCAAAACCTGAGGAAATGCAAATTTCTGACAGGCAGCTTTTTATCCAGGCCCTTTTGGGCCTAAATAATTATTCCAGGAACAAAGAGATGTACTTCTGCATATGTACCTTTGATAAACCACCAATAAATGATCTTTTTTACCCTAAAAGACAATGACAAGTAACTTAGGGAAGGCCAGTTTACTACTGAAGTAACGAATCCTGGGAAGGAATGGTAGCCAAGTGTGAAATCAGGAAACCAGGAAGGTGTGCTTCAAACTATGAGCAACTGCATCTGGTCCTCACGGTCATCAGCAAACGCCTCGGGTAGATCTAAAAACCAAGACTGACATACTTGTTGAGTAAAAAGTACATAAATATGAAGAAATGGTAATATGAAATTTTGAAATATTCAGAATGATGCTTAAAATAATTCATGCATATACCAAGAGTATTGAATGAGGTGTTAAGCATGTCTCAAGAGGGAGTTATCAAATATTTCTTAGTTAAATTCCTGGATGGGCGGTGGATTAAGCAAACAGAAATTGGGCAAACACAATTCTTGTGTATGAAATTCTCAAAAAAAATTTAATTAAAAATTTAGGTTCAATCCACAGGAAGAGATTTTGGGATTCAGTATGATCTCTTGAAAAATTAATGTGACACTCGCTTTGGTTTCTTAAGACGTGAAAACAAATAATGTATAAGGAGAGGACAGTGGAGTCCAGTTTCCTGTAACAGTTTAAGAAGTAGAAACAGAAGTTGATAGAGAACCTGCCTGACATGTGGGAAGGCCTGGCTTTTATCCCAAGCTCTGCATAAAAGATGTGCAGTATACACCTATAATCCCAGCACTCAGTAGGCAGGACCAAGAGCATCAGGAACTCAGGGTTCAGTTGTCTAAGGAGTTGGAGGCCAGCCTGGGCTACCTGCAATTTTATCTCCATTTTGTTTCGTTGTATTTGTCTGTTTTTGTTTTGTTTTTATTTTAAAAAGGAAAAAAATAGTATCAAGTTTTGAAAAATAATGGATAATATTGTTACTTCCCTGGTGTTTGGTTTGGTTTTAAGGCAGGATTTCATGTAGCCTGGGCTGGCCTCAAGCTCAGTCTGTGGCCAAAGGTGGGTGTCCTTAAAGCTGTGATGCATCCTCCTTCATGCCCTGAGAGTTGGAATTGCAGGTATGTGCCACCATACCTGGTTATTGAAGCTTTGGATATCAAACCCAAGGTTTCTGTATGCTAGGCAAACATTGTACCAATGTACTAGCAAGCAAGCAAGCATGCACACACACACCACACAAAGACATACACGCACACACACACACACCACATACACCACACAAAGACACACACACACTCACCATATACACCCACAAACATACACCACACACAAACATCACACACACACCCACACACCCCACACACACCCCACACACACCCCACACACACCCCCCACACACACCCCACACACACATACACACACACACACACACACATGCACACATACACACACCCCACACACACCCCACACACAACCCACACACAGCCCCCACACACACATACACACACACATACATACACATACACATACACACACCCCACACACACCCCACACACACACCCCACACACACATACACACACACACACACACACCCCACACACACCCCACACACAACCCACACATAGCCCACACACACACACATACACACACACACACACACACACATACACACACTCACATACACACACACACACCCCACACACAACACACACACACACATACACACACACTCATACATACACACACACACTAAAACCTTTTTTAATTAAGTGATAAAATATTTAAAGGCGTTCTATTGGGTGTTGGCTTTTCTGGTGAGCAGCTGGACTTCTGAGTCTATTCAAGTGAGCTCTGTCTATTCCTGACTCCTTTCACATTGGTTTCAGAACCCCGAGGCTTCTCAGAGGAAATCTGTGAGCTGGAGTGAAAAGCCAGTGGTGAGAAGTGGGCATCCTCATTTCTAGACAAGCTCATTCGCTGGTTTCATGTCCTAACCTGCATTCTTCACTGCTTTTCCATCCCACACCACTGTTTTTCTTAAATATCAACACTCCATGTGTTGTCCATTTATGTGCATGCATGTGCAAATATGTTTGTATGTATGTGAGTATTTATTCTATGTAGGTGTGTATGCATGTGCATTTGTGTGCATATGTGTGTTTGTATGTGTGTGGGTGTATGTACATGTGTATATGAGTTTATATGTGTGTATATCTGTGCATGTATATAAATGCGTATGTTTGTACATGTATTCTGTGTAAATGTATAAACTGTATGTGTGCATGTGTGTGTATATATCTATATGTATTTGTGTGTGTGTGTGTTTGTGTAGATGTATGTGTGTATGTGTGTGCATGCGTTTGCGCTTCAGACTACCGTTCTGTAACGCCACGTTTTACTTTCACTGTATCATCACTTACAACATTTCCATTGTTTTTATTTAAAACATAGTCTAAATGATTACAAAATTTGGATTTGGGGTATGTTTTGGATGGTTTCTAGATTATTAACTAAGTCGTTTGTGTATTTTCCTCTAGAGTCCATCACACGATCAATGTTTTGGAAATACTCAGAAAATGGAGTATTTCCAGTGTCAAGTGATTGCATTTGTTAATTTTGTTGTACAAACTGCCTTTGTCTTTGGGAATCTTTTGTATGGATATACATAACTTTAATGATTACTTTACATTTTATTTTTACAATAATTTTATAACATACATAAAATTTTATAGTTATTATCCTTTGCCGATGATGTTACTTTTATTCAAAACCTTTGTAGCTACCAAAGCTTCTTGCCTTGAATCTATTTTGTTTGATATATTATATTGTGATATTATTATATTATATTATATTTTCTGTAGTAGTGTGCGATGTTATTTTGTAAAAACAAACATCCCCAAATCTAATAACCCAATAGGGTATGTAAGGCATCTGTACTCTTGAGATGTTAATGCTGCACACATCCTGAGGAGCTTATCTAAAAGCAGAATTCAAATTCTTTCTCTGGAGGTTCTTTCTACAGTATCAGGATCTGCATTATGTCTGCAGACCGAGAAGACAGAGAGGAAGACACAAATACTGTTGGGGAGGTCAGTAGTCAAGCTTGAATTTCAACCCAACTGTTGTGTGTCTTGGAAGAGGAAATGGATTTGTTGTGTGTCTAGCCAGGCACTACTTCGTTCTTATCCTTTAAAATAGATAGATGCCATGTTTAAGATACGATGCTTGAAATATGCTGTAAATAATCTAGTATGTGTGTGTGTGTGTGTGTGTGTGTGTGTGTGTGTGTGTGTGTGTATTCCTAAACCCTTGCCCTCCCCACAGAATTAACAACCGAGATTGTCTACCAGATTGAAGATTCTATCTAATCACCCAATTTAGCAGTAGCTCCTGCAAGCCATCCTAATCCTACAAATTCCCCTTTAAAGAAACCGGATTATTGCCCTACACTAATTGCTTCCTTTCTGAGCAGTGAAGAAGTCACTGTTCGAAAATCCTTCTGAAATCTCTCCAGGAGTGCTTGTGCAGACCCCTTCCCTGGAGGTGAGGCAGGATCGCTTCTGCTCTCTGTGAAGACCCCCCCGACTTGCACTCTGCACAGACTCATGCTCCAGGCTTGGGAGGGTCTCCAAACTTATTTCTACTCTTATTCATAGGAATTTGGAGACCTATGCTTATTTTTATTTTCTCAATCTGGGGTCTGTTGTTTTTGCAGTTGTTTTCGTTTTGATGTCTAAGTGACTGGAAAAGCAGACAATAGTGTTTGCCCAGAATACCCAAGTGATTATTTTATTTTAAAGACTCTAGTTCCCATCTTGTAGTGTCTTCAGCAGTTTATTTCCTATACAATCTATTTAACGATTTGTTACTATAATCCTCTTTATTTAGCCTCAGACAGTTCTTCCTGACATAAAATACTCTTAAAGGCACTGTAAAGCACGGGTCTCCAGCTGGCCTTTGGAACTCGCTTTCCTGTTTCCATTTCTCCAACTTCTGGCTTAATGGCCACCAACCGAGGCTTATAAAATCAGGCTTTCAACATAATCTTTGTCTTCAGTTACTTCATACAGCGGAGATATTTTCCTTCTCTTTGTATTTTTTTTCATTTGTAAGTAATTTTACATCCCAGCGTTTGGGGCCTGCAGTTATTACCCTAGGAAACACCACACCTTTAGACCCTCCTCGCACATTTTTAACCATCCTGTTGAATTTTTTGACTCTACTCATATACAAATGTTCTGAGAAGGTAGATGTGACCATGTAAATTTTTACATTTGCAACAAGTATCTGCTAGTTAGTAATAATTATCTCTCAAATGACCATAGTAGCATGTATACCAAATGATTTCCAGTGCTGAATAACTGTCTTCAAGCTTCCAACATCAGGGGGTGGGGATGTGGCTCGGATGGTGAAATGTTCACCATGCAAGCCTGATGCTGTTGTGCATTTGGCTCTCCAGCATTCACATGAAAAGCTGGCCTGAGGGGCAGGCTTCCATAATTCCAGTGCTGGGGTGAGGTGGTGTTGGGACAGATGGATCCCTGGGGCTCACAAGCAGCCAGTCCGGTTGAATCGGTGAGTTCCAATCTCACTAAAAGACCTTGTCTCAAAAAATAAGGAGCAGGGTGGTTAGGGAAGACACCTAGTGTCAGCCTCTGGTGTCCACTCATGCACACATGTGCACTTGCGTGTGTACACACAAGCACACGTACACAGAGAAGCATGTACATACACTACTCACATACAAAACAAGTAAGAATAAAGTTCCCAGTGTTCCTTCCCAGTTCTGGCTGCTGCACAGTGGGACACAACTGTCCATTTCCAGCGGCTCTTCAGCACTGGAGAGGGAGGTCACCGCCCGCTGCTGTGACAACTGGCAAAGTGACAGTCTCTGTCTATCACGAGAACTCTTAGGAACAGCAGACGGACAGGGGACGCTTCTCTTTTCCAAACAGGGGTCATGGTTTTGAGTTGCTTATTTCATGGTCCTACCATCTCAGATCCCTGTCTATAGGGTCAAAAAAACAAAACAAAACGGAAAAAAACCCCAAACAAATAAACGAATAGTGACAGAAATCGTGAGGAAGAGTTTGGAAACAGCTTGGATACCACCTCAAGTTACTTCTGCTGTGCTTTCTTGGTTTCGAAAAGCCTGACCCCAAACAAATTTCAGGGCAGATGAAAGAAGCTGGACACCGCGTGGTGTGTGCTCAACCAAGGGAATGAAACTGGTGGTGTGGAGCCAGGCGCCATGCCTGGGTCTCTGTGTGTGTGCGCGCGCGCGTGCGTATCCACCTCCTTAAATTTGCATCCTTCCCGAGTTCTTAAAGTCGAGGCACTAGATATTGAATCACATTTTGGAATCTGATCTGCCAGTCTCGCTCAACTGAAATAGGAAATGAAACTTGCTTCTGTTTAATATGCTTACTTAGGACTTTTCCTTTGTGTGCTCTTGAGATAGCCTACATTTTATACCTGCGTCTTCTTAGGGATTGGCCAACTTGCCTTTAACATTTCTTACTGCTCTGGTAATTTGGAGATACATCAGTTTCCCTAATGTCAACATCTCTCTCCTTTCCCTGCAATTAGTTCTTAATTCCTTAATTAATAACACCTGTGTTCAACTTTTTACTTACCAATTCTTTAGTTTACTTTAAACTCAAATTGTTATATTGTTTCCAATCTCATCGATTTCTGTTTATTTTCAGCATTCCTTTGTTTCAGTCTCCCTGCCTATCACCAGTTTTACTCCCTCTTGATGTATATTTTTAGAGGTTCTCATTTTAATGGCCTGTGAGCTGCTAACCTTTAGAATGTGTTTGCCTGAATATGTCTTCTAGCTCTTTTTATTAAGTGGTATTTTACTTGCACATTAAAGTATTAGGATTAAAATAAATGGACAAAGTCTGGCTTAATATTGAAAGTCTAGTTAAACTTTGAAGTGTTACTTTAAATAAATAGTTTAAATGGAATTTATTTTACAGTTCAGTTGATTGAAATCACAGAAATGCTACTGAATTTTCTTCTTAGTATTTCACCTAAGATGTAGCATGCAATGTTGGACTTGGTATATGTTCTTTATTTTCTTAAATCGATTTGGAAAAAAAATAGTAAAATACAAATGAACCACAATTTTTTTTTTTTTTTGTAAACCTCTATTTGAACTTGGAGATTCACTCTTGCTAGGTAAGCATTCTGCCTTTGAACTATATCTGCAGCCCCAGGATTAGTATTTACTTTTATCTTGCCATTAGATAATAATTATCATCTGTTTGGCTGTCTCAGGGATGGGACCCAAGATCTCCCATGTGCTCAGTGCCCGAGCCACATCCCCAGTAATCCTATCAAATTCTTTTTGAATAATTTAATTAAGATGTAAAATATTAAAAATAACTGATTTCTTCAGATTAGTAATGAAGCTTTATATTAAGTTTTCTTTGGTGCGTCCTTCAGACATAAGAATACTGGGCAGAACAGAGACAAAAAAATACATTTCAGGAAAATATTTAGCATTTTTCAAGGATATGGCCTAGACACAAGGCTTAAAAACTGCTTTACAATATACCTCTGACAGTTTTGATACCTTCACATATTAATTCTTCTAAACCTCTATATATTTTATAGTGTATATATACTTTTCTTGAGCCACGCATTTTATTTCCCTCATTTATCAACCCTTCTTATTTATGTGAGATGAGCAGTGGAGCAGGAAAAGAACCTAACAGAGACAGCTCATGCATGTCAGAAGAGTTAGCCCGCTTCAGAAATGATCAAAGCTGTCCAGGCTTGAAGAAAACAATAGAGTTCTAATTGTGTGAAGCTCCAATAACCTTAATTTCTTGTCAGGTTGTTTTTATCTAATTTAGAACAACACTTATGAATCTACTCATCTTTGAGCTAAATGCTAAAGATTTATTATACGACTTAACATTATAAACTATAAATTGACTTTTTAACAGACACAAACCAAATTAAAGATTTTTTAAAAAAGGGTCTCCAAATTGAGCTCTAAAAGTATGAAAGATGCATTTATTAAGAACATAATGGAAGGGCTGGAGAGATTGCTGCTTTTCCTGTGGACCCAGCATCCACCATGTCCGTAGCTCAAGTTCCAGGAGATCTGATATCTTCTCTGGCCTTGGAGTACATCAGGCCCACATGCAATGCACATACATATATACATGCACACACACACACACACACACACACACACAAACACACTAGTACATATAAAATAAAAATAAAATAAATAAATCTTTTTTTTAAGTCACAGAAACCCAGTGCCCAGGAGAACACAAATGGTTTTTATCTAGATTATTTTTCCCTTTACTTATGTTATTTCAGAAGGACATGTAATGCTAGTCCACAATTTTAGTATAAGTACATGTTTAATCTGTGTCCTAAAAGAAGCTGAGGCCATTGATGTATGGCCAGACGTTGTCATACACATGACTCAAAAGGACATGATTCCTATTGGTATATCTCCAAAGTTCTTAGGTTCAGTCACCAATATTACACACACACACACACACACACACACACACACACACACACACACACAGAAGGGTCTGTGGAAAAAGCACATACATTTCTCATGTATTTTTTTCTATGTTTCAATATCATTTTTTTATCTCAAAAAGTCAAGAATTGATTACTCTAGTGGACAGCTGGTCAATAGACACACAGAGATGAGTCGTGTAAATTTGGCTCAGTTGCTCTATGACTTTTCCTGGAGCCATGGACCATGTGACCAAATCTTTCCACCTCGGATAGGATGCTGATAACAGACTGGAGAAATGATTCCACCCAAGTCTAGCTTAGTGGAACAATGCATTCCTTACAGTAACTTAGAGGAGCACGGGCAACTCAAAGGCAACTGTAGCTCCAAAACATCCAATGCAGCACGGATGTGAACTCTCAAAACTTGCATCCCTGTGCCCCGCTTGTGCCAGTGGACAGCAGCTCCACCGCCAAGTCTCCTATTCCCTAGCAACTGTTGGCTGCTTTAATGTCCGTGGGAAGATGGCTTGTGAATCCTGTGACCTTGGACCTTCCTGAGAATTTAAGGGTCTTGGGTTTCCTGAGCCTGGTAAAATGCATTATTAGCTTCCTAGGTTTAATGAACCTCCCCTCTTTGTCTAGCATGGAGTGTTTCAGTTTGGGAGAAGAAACTAAGCAGTATCCCTCCTCAAAACTCTCTGAAATAGGAGCTGAGGATGTGTTTATAAAAAGCCAAGACATTTAAAAATGATTTAAAAGGGTTATTTTACTTTATTTATTTATTCGTGTGTGTGTGTGCGCGCGCGCGCGCGTGTTTGTATGCATGTATGTTTATACACTTGCATGTGCCTGCCAGGACATATGAGTGTGGAGATCAGGAAAAAGGCAGTACCAGTTTCAGGATTCCATTCTCTTCTTGTGCTATGAGGGTCTGGGGATCAAATCTAGGCTGGCAGGTTAGCAGCAAGCACCTTTACCTGCTGAGTCATCTTGTAGTCCCAGAAAATACTTTTAATCTTAAATTTGCTGGATTCATACAACAATATTAAATACTATTTTTATGGATCTTGGAGTACACTAAAATGCGTAAAATGCCATTAAACTCGAATGCGTATGAGCTGGAAAACTGGGTTTCTTCAGAATTCTCCCAGGTGAACTGGAGAACTGTGGTGATATTTTGTTTGTGCTCTAACAAATAAAGCTTGCCTGGAGATCAGAGAGACAAGGGAGCAAGCCACAGCCACTTCTTACCTCGCCAACTCCTCAGCCTGAAAGGGGGTGAACTCCTGTCTCCTCCCACCATATATTCCTCTCTCAGCCCAGCCATATCACTTTCCAAGTGCTGGGATTAAAGGTGTGTGCCACCACTGCCTGGCTTCTATGGTTAACTAGTGGCTAGCTCCACACTGTGATCTCCAGGCAAGCTTTATTTGTTAGAGCACAAACAAAATATCACCACAGAGAACACTATTCTTTCTTTGTAGCTGGAAAATGTCATCGAAATGGATATTAAACTGAACATAATAAAATATAAAGAGAGAACTCAATTAATGGTAGGATTCTAGATCAAAGTAGATCCTAGAGTCATTTTGAATCTGTTGAATTTGAGACAGAATCCACAAATCTTCAGATACAGATCTCTGCTATTTGGTTTCTGCTGTCTGCCACCAGCAAGCCCATCTCATTTTTTTTTTTTCTCCTAACAGGGAGAAAAGAACATGGCTTCTCAGGGAGCTAAGGGATTTGGCGGGGAGAACCCAGCCCTTCCTGACAATCCTCCACCGTCCATGTCTCCAGTCATGAAGAATAACCCGTTATATGGTGACATGAGCATGGAAGAAGCTATGGAAGAGAGAAAAAAGAATCCTTCCTGGACTGCTGAGGAATATGACAAGCACTCTGCGCACACAAATCTCTCTGGACAGCTGAAGGTATGTATACTAAGAAGTCCCTTCAACTCTTCAGCCAGATCAGCTCGGTGAGCCTGAGAAGGTGTTGTAGACGTGACAACTGTAGACAGTGTAGGAGTTCCTCACTAAACACAAAATCTCCAGACTACAGGTCCTTTGGGTCCTTGAAGTTATTTCTCTTTTCCAGCCAGTATTTGGGGTTATTTGTTTTGTATTTTGCACAGCCAATGGCATCCGTGTACTACAGAGTGAAGAAAAGCGAGGTGACAGTGACAGAGGGTCTCCTGGGAAGGTGGGAGTTGTTTTTCAGATTAATTTGTAAGGTCATATATGGTTTCCCTGGTTTGTAATCTGGTGGCTGTTTATACTCTTGATTGCTTAGGAATGAATTTCTTACTCTACATTTTTCTAAAACAACTTAGGAAGTGATCAGACTTAGGCACTCTGAGAGGAAGTCCTTAACAATGATCACTTCATTAACATTCTAAGACCACAAAATGATTTAAGATTGAATGTCTACATTTTGGTCATTTTTCTTGTGTCTCAAAACAAAACATTTCAACAAGGAAAGATATGCACAAACTCACTCACTCAGCTTAAGATTTTCTTCCCCTTCTTCTTCTGATGTCACCTACACACAGAAGACCCAAATACCTGAAAACCAGAGTGGACCCTCTGTTGTCTGAAAGGACTGGATTCCTGACCAGCCTCGGCTTGCCTCCACCTGCCTTAGGCCAGAAAAGCCTGACATTTTCAAGTACCCTTCATTTAAAAATGTGTGTCTGGTGTGAGTCCATACCTTAACCACCTGCAGTGAACCACATTTTTTTTTAAAGGGGGCAGTACCGTAGACTTTTATGTGCTGCACACAGGTTTTAAGACCTTGACTGTGCATGCCTTGAAATACGTAATGGTCTGGAATCACTGACAGGTCTTAATCTCCTAGTTTGAAGGTTCCCCTTCCTCTTTAGCTTCTTTCTGAGAAGTTTCCAGAACACACATTCCATGGCAACAACAATGCATTTCTTTTCCTCTTCTTTGTTTTGGTTTATTCTCATGCTTCTTACCAAAGACTTCATATCATTAAGTCTGTTATTGGGGAAAATGCATTGATTTATTTCACACACCATCACTTATTGCTGGGCACAAGCTAAGGCTTGTTCTCTTGCCTTTGCTGTGTGCACATATGACAAGAGGGCGGTGGGGATGAATGTTGCATCCCAGCCTGCACACAGATCCATCTAACTGAGCTAATATAAACAGTTTACCTAATTCAAAGACCGTCATTTTCATCTGCCAATTAAAAAAAAAATAATTAAATTTGTTTCTCAAAAATTTTATTTATTTATTTTTTATTTTTTAAGTTTGGATATCAGACCAAGGAAACTGAAGATCATTGGCAATTAGTAGAAATGTTTTAAGTTACATTTACAAAGATCAAATACAAATCTATTGGATGTGCTGTTACTGAAACTGACAGTCCTCCACCTAGCTCACACACACACACACACACACACACACACACACACACACACACACACACACACACTTCTCAAAGCAGTTGTGCTCTCAGGGTTGTCTGTGTACTGGTCCCATGATGCTCCTCCTCAGTGTTAACTTCCAGAAGAAACTTCCAGGAAGCCATGCACCCTGCTCTCATCAGAACTTCTTATAGTCTATGACTCCCCCTTCTTTTATCTGCACATCCGTCCTTATCTAATAAATAGCAGACAGGCTCCTGACTTAAATTTGTAATTTTTTTTGACCTTCAGTTTTTATTTTACCTGTCTGGGTGTTTTGCCTGCTTTGCCATGCATGTGTATGCACCATGTACATGCAATGCTCTCAGAGGCCACCAGCGTGTGTCAGGTCTCCTTGAAACTGGAGTTACAGATGGTCATAAATGTGAACAGCCACATGGGTGCTAGGAATCTAACCCAGGTCCACTAGATGAGCAGCCTTCCCCTTTAACTGCTGAATCCTCTTTCCAGCCCCATCATTTCTGTCATTTTGATACCAATATGGACTATAAACATTCTGGGTGCCTTCATATAGTACTATTTTTTTTTTTTGTCTAAATGGCTGAGTTATAAGTTATCACAAAAGACAAAAGAAATGATACACTTAATTACCAATGCGAGCTGAGGCAGGACTTTAAGAGAGGATTGTCTCCGTGAGGGAAGCCATTGGTGAAAAAATAAAATTAAAGTACTAAGTGTGCAAAATTCGGGACTCTGGTTGGGGCACAAATGAGATGCAAAACAAGGGGAATGCAGACAAGGGTTTTAAAGTCGGTGTTCTTCTGCACAGGCCTTCCAAACCCAACTGCAGTTCTTAAGCACTTCTAAGTAGGTGGTTTAAACCCATGTACCACAGCCCAATCCATGCCATCTCCTTATAGGCTTGCCCATGTCCCTCCTAGCACTATAGCCCTAAGTCTGAAGCTAGTTCAGAGACCCTACAGGCTGCCAGCAACCGGGAATTGGTTTTGTGACACTACTAGCTGACATATGTCCACTAAAACCATTGAGGGTGATGGCCTCTTTCAAATGCCTCAAAATATCCAGGCAAGAAAAGTAGTGGCCTGCAGTTGCTATGTGAAAGTGGTAACTCAGCTATCTTTGTACACTTAATGTATGAGAGACAGGACTGATTGCACTAAACTTATTGGAGATTAGAGGAAAGTGTTTTGTTTTGTTTCCAAAAAGTATACGGAATAGTAGAGTGTATAGGTGACTTATTGGGTACTTGAGAGTAGAATTCTTAAAAAGAGTTCTCTGGCACTCAGAAGATGGAGCCAATGAGACAGACACCATATGGATAGGAGCTAACAGGAGCAAAGAAGCATCGTGTCCCCTGAGTTTCTATGTGGAAGATGTAGCTCTGACATGGAAGTAGCTCTTAAGACTAGCTCTATTCTTCCTTCCTGGAAGTCAGTTGAGGTTTCCTGAAACTTACCAAATTCTTATCCCTGCCACAAAGATGAGACAAAACTTCCAAGGTTCATCTAAAGCTAGGAATTGTAATTATATTTCAACTCACTTAACTGGCTTATAGCCATTATTTATAAGAGGTTAGAAACATACAATTGGCTAAAAGATGACTATGATGTTTTTGGCTTGGAAGTGTCAGGAACTTGATACAGGAATTGTGCAGGCCACCTAACAAAATCTGATGCAGACAGACACATTTCCTGCAGGTACCTGTGGTCAACCAGGCTGTGGCAGTGTATCCGAGACATTTAGAGATGTCAAGCCTACTGTTTGATCCCCAAACAATGTGACTACAGACTCTCAGGTCCTCTGGCAGCATCTTGTTCCCAAGTTTCCGTCTGTAATGCTGACGCATGACCTATTGGTGGTATTTTCTCTGTGTTGTTTTCTTTTAGGAAAACCCCAACGACCTGCGCTTTTGGCTGGGGGATATGTACACTCCAGGCTTTGACACTCTGTTGAAAAAGAAGAAGAAGCGCAACAAGCAATCAAAATTATGTCACATGGGTATGATCTTACTCGTTGTGGCCTCCATCTTGGTTACCGTAGTGACTCTGAGCGCCTTGTTTGCCTAAGGAAGTTGCAAACCCTTCTTTCAAGCTTTAAAACGCCTTCTGAGTACTTACAGGAAAATCTGTCTGTGCATTGTGAATGTATGCGTCCGCATTGCTAGCTGTGTGGCTAAACACCCTTGTCCTTTAGAATGTGGTCATTGCTTGTGGTATGCTGGCCCCTCTGCTCTGTTCCGTGAAACCTGCGTGTGATTCCTGGTTGGTCGGGGTTTTCTCCTTTGTGAAGCAGATATTCCGGAGGATCAGAAAACCAAAAGTCACATACATGCAACCACAATCAAGCTTTATGATAGAGAGCAGAGCATCAGGCACCTCAGTGCTCATCATGCTCATCCGGTTTTCACCACACCACTCCCTCCTCCTCTGGGCACTGCGGAAGCTCCAGCCAACCTGGCCAGCTGCAAGGGCAACTGGAAGACTTCTGCTGAGCCCAGGTCAAGTTAGACCTGCTTTACCCTCCTTGATCTCCACTTACGTTAGGGAAGAGGAAAAAGTGGGAGGGAGATGTTCTATCCTCTTCTAATTTCCCCAGTAATCCTTTATAATGACCCACATTTATGTTGCTGTTTCAGCAGAGATAAACGTGGTCCACCATTGTGGTATGTGTTTGTGGGTTGATGGAAACCGGCAACTGTGACCTCTAGTGGCAGTGGGTACATATTTACCAGACATAGTGGGTAGGGCACTGGAGAGACCCCAGGAATGCTGCCACCCCTGAGTATTCCAACTGAATGACAGTTAGACCTGAAGGAGAGATTATCCGAGGAGGGAGCTGACTTAACAAGAGCTGGGACTACCTTTTCCCACAGTGTCATTTCCAGCTGGCTGCTGGCTGCAGATTACCTGGGGACAAGCGCATCCTCTCCCCATCCCAAGACATTCTCCCCTACGGCCCCCAGTGCCACTCCTAACGCTATTTAGTGTGTGAAACAAGGCTTTTCTTCTTCCCCAAGAGTGCCGTCTTCTCGTGCCCTTAGATAACGCCTTACTATTTCCCTGTATTGCTCGTAAAGATACTTGAAGTAAAAGTGTATAAAAATGAAGGTTTACAGGACAATAAATTACCGTGTACAAAGCAAATTCTGTCTTACTGATCTTTGCACTGACTTTGTTATTCCTCTTCTTGCTGTGGGTTCCAGTCCAATGTGGAAAGAATGGCAGGGGGATGGAGGTGGGGGTCCTCCTCACCAGGCTCCCTCCCACTGGGGCTGCCCTTAGATCCTGCCTGCCCTCACTGTCTTCAAAGCTTGACTGCCCCCGTGTTTGCCTCTGGGGACTCAAGTCATGCTCAGGGGTCACCCTGCATGGTACTTACTCATCTGTGCTGAACTGGGTTATTTGTGTCTGTCCAAGACAGCACCCGTGCCCAGAGTCCAGATAACTCTTTAAAGACGGGGTGGGCAGCCTGCCCCGCCCCCACCCAGGCGTCCCTTCCTCCTTCCAGTCAAGCACCTAGGATTCCTCTCCTCTCTAGCCTTCTTCCTCTCCTTATATTTATGATACCTTTGGACACTCATTTCTTCTGCATGAGTGGATTTATTGCTTTGCTTTTAGACCAATATCCACCGCTAGCTTTCGGTGTAACTGGATTCAAACTACAATATTGTCCCTCGCTGAATTAATGGTATGTGTCTGCACGTAAGGGAAAGTCACAATGGGAATGGTGTCCTTGTTCGCATGCAAATTTATAACTTGCATGCGCTTCTAATTCCCTTGTGAAAACAGCTCTAGAAGAAGAAGAAAAAAAAAAACGTGTAAGGTCATGGAAAGGACAGCAGTAATGGCTCTCTCCAGGCTTATGTTCAAATCTGGGCTTGCTTGAGAGTTTCTGATCCAGGCCCACTGGTTTTTTTCTTCCTCTCTTTTAAACTTTTTAAATACAGGGTTGGCACACAGCACCGGTCAATAAATATTAAGTCCCATTGTCCCCAACACTATTTTAGTCTCTTTCTTAACCCCTAAGTTGGGTTAAAAAATCTGAACATCAAAATTCTTAATAATAATTTTTTTCCAATAAAAAGTTCCTTTATTATTGGAAGGCGTGCTTTATTCTTGCATATTAAGTTGGTGTGTTGAAGCCCTATAAGCTAATAATGCCACAAATTCCAGGGAAAAAAATTAGAATGTTTACACTTTTGTAAAGTGCTGCTCTCAAATGTAAACAGAAAGATTTGAAATTGGTTTTTCACCTAAAAAACGATTTTTTCTGGTTGCTGCCACCTAGTGGAGAATTTAATTAGCGGCCTATAGGGAAAGCGAGGCCCCAGGCTCCATTTAACTAGAGTGCGCTCCTGCCACCTGGAGGCCACATTTACTATGCCTGAGCTCACACCATGAAGAAACACGGCAGGAAGAAATGAACTTTGAGCTAGCAGGATAAAGGGCTGAGAGCTCCTGTCTGCCCTTTGTAACGCTGATTTTGACAGTCTCATCATTCTAGAAAAGACACGTGACTGGCTGTGAGTCACGTCGACAAGAGGGAGGTAGAACTTCAGAATAAGCTCTAGAGTCCGCTGCACATCACTCGTGAACGCTGGAAGACTCCTCAGAGGGTGACTCCTTCCTCGGGTCCTCAAATGGGTTAAACCTTTGCTGCTTGGTTCAGATTTCCTATGGTCTTCTGAATTTGTATATTGGTAGATCTCAGTATTGGAGGACTCTTTATATTGTGTGTGTGTGTGTGTGTGTGTGTGTGTGTGTGTGTGACTGTAAGATGTGTGTGCATATGCAGCGAGTGTACACTTGGTGTACACAGGTATTTATGCTGTGAATATGTGTGTGTGTGTGGGGGGGGTGTATTTGTATATATTTGATGAGTGTGTATACTCAGGGACTGTCTATGTGGTATAGACAGGTATTCATGCTCTGGGTGCTCCTGCGTGCACATGAATGCATGCAGAGTACACAGCAGTATGCCCAGGCATCCTGCTCTATCACCCTCTACCTTATTCCCTCAAGGCATCGTCTTTCACTGAACCTGGAGCTAGACGGGCAGCCAGCAGACTCCAGCGATTTGTCTGTCTCTATCCTCCACAGCACTGGGTTTGCAGGCGGGGGGAGTTGAGGCTCGGGGAGTTTGAACTCCACTGCTCATATCTGCGCAGGAAACACTTTCACTCACCGAACCATCTCCTCTGTCTAAACACAGTTTTTGTAGTTCCCATTCTTCCGAACCATAGCTTAGTACCATTTTTCAAGTTTTCTCCTCACATTACTGAATGAATATAATTTGGTCATGGGTAAGAGGTACTTTTTCAAACTGTAACTAGACAGGGCCATTAAGTCTCAACCTCTCTACATTCTTACATCCACATCCTTTTTTTTTTTTTTTTTTGGTTTTTCGAGACAGGGTTTCTCTGTGTAGCTTTGCGCCTTTCCTGGAACTCGCTTTGGAGACCAGGCTGGCCTCGAAGACAAGGTTTTGTTCCTTTCCACACGGTCACTTAGCCCAGACTCTGGCCTGGCTTCAGGCAAGACTGTTAAGCAAGAAGGAAGAGCTTCAGAGACTGGAGCAGTTTTCTGCCAGAGCGGCTGCTCTTTTCTCATTTTATGGATGTGGTGACTCATGTGCCTGCTCAAATTTCTCTCAGTGCAAACAGCTGGAAAAAGTCAGGGTGGAAATACTGCTCCCTCTTCTCCAGACGGTGTGTGGGACTTTCCTGTGTGCGTTAGGTGATCAGTCCCAATCTGGCTCCATGTTTCACTCTGTCCTTACTTCCTGACTCAAATATGCTGATCCCCTACCTGCTTGATCTTCCTCTCCAGTGTGTGTGTGTGTGTGTGTGTGTGTGTGTGTGTGTGTGTGTGTGTGTATGAGACTCCATGTAGTCCTGGCTGTCCTGAAACTCACTGTGTAGACCAGGCCCAGCCAGGTTTGAACTCACAGAAATCTTCCTGCCTCTGCCTCCTGAGTGCTGGGATTGTAGGTGGGCATCGCCATGCTTGGTTCTTCCCCTCCTTTATCAACTTACTGACAAGATGCAGAGTCTGCAAACACACAAGGGTAGATAATTACATGTTTGTGCTGATAACGATGCGCATATTCATATATAGAAGCCAGACACAGGGCTGGAGATGTAGCTCCATGGCATAATATTTGTCCTAGCATGAATTAACATCTGGCTTGGATCCCCAGAATAAGAAAAGAAAGAAGAAAGAAATCTATTATTTAAAAATGAAATAAAACAAAGTATACTTTTAAAGAAAGAATGATAAAAGTGCATTTTTAAAGTAAAGACAATATTACTTTAATTTCAATTTGAATATGAAATATTCCCCATAAAGACTCATGCATTAAGCCCATTTCTCCAGCAGGTGGCACTCTTTTCAAGGCATCTGGCCTACACTCCCAGATGGAGGAAGAAGGTCACTGAGGGTATGTCCTTGAGGGGTAGCCTGTCCTCGACCACACCATAAAACATTGGATGTCTTCTTCCACAGTTCTCCGCAGGGTCTCGCATTGAATATGAATGATCTGGGGAGCCTCTAGAACTTGCCCGTCTCTTCCCCAGTGCTGGAGTTAACCCGCATACACAGCCGTGCCTGGCTTTCCAAACTTGGTTTTCTCATGCTTGGCATTGACCCATCCCGTCAGGCCCGACATTTTCCTGTTTTGAAACAAATATCATGAATAAATGTAGCTGGAGTTTTCCTGCCTGGCCCACAGTCAGGACAAATCTCTCTCACCTGCCAGTCCCACAGCCGCTCACACCTGACCAAGTAAACACACAGACTTATATTGGTTACAAACTGTATGGCCGTGGTGACAGGCTTCTTGCTAACTGTTCTTACAGCTTAAATTAATCCATTTCCGTTAATCTATACCTTGCCACGTGGCTCGTGGCTTACCGGCATCTTCACATGCTGTTTGTTATGGCGGCGGCTGGCAGTGTCTCTCCCACTCAGCCTTCCACTTCCCAGAATTCTCCTCTCTCCTTGTCCTGCGTACACTTCCTGCCTGGCCACTGGCCAATCAGTGTTTTATTTATACAGGACGATATCCGCAGCAGATAAATCTTTCTCTAACACTCCTAGAAGACATTCCCCTTGGACAGCAAGGTGTCACATAGGCCCGCAGCCGACGTTCCTTCACCTGAACCACTGCCTCCCACCTTCACCTACAGTTCCCCACAGTTGATAAGAATTGCGACAGTCACATTCGTATCTTCTACGTTTCATTGTCTCAAAAGCTCCTCCGTTCTCACAACCTCATTTCTTTTCGGTTGTCATGCTGTGAGACACGTACAGAGAGCATGTCTGCAGGAGCAGAAGTTGAATTTCGGACCTGGTGAAAGTCTTGCTTGAATACAAACTGGGGACACTCAATCCCTTCACAGTGTTTTGAGTGCTCCTATCTGCTGTGGGATGTTCTGTATGGCAAATGTGTTGCTCTGATTGGTCAATAAATAAAACACTGATTGGCCAGTGGCTAGGCAGGAAGTATAGGCGGACTAACAGAGAGGAGAAAAGAAAGAACAGGAAGGCAGAAGGAGTCACTGCCAGCCGCCACCAGGACAAAGAGCATGTGAAGATGCCGGTAAGCTACAAGCCATGTGGCAGGGTATAGATTTGTTTAAGATATAAGAACAGTTAGCAAGAAGCCTGCCACGACCATATAGTTTGTAGGCAATGTGAGTCTCTGTGTTTACTTGGTTGGGTCTGAGGGGCTGTGGGACAGGCGGGTGACAGAGATTTGTCCTGACTGTGGGCAAGGCAGGAAAACTCTAGCTACACCTATCTAAATTCTATTTTTCTAGTGGATATAATGAGAACTTCATATATATCAGCTGCTGATGACAAGAGAGATGTTTATATCTTCTCATCCCCATAATTACTTACATACAATTTCCAATTCTTTTTCAGCCCCAACTGAAAGGAATTTGTAGAGAAAATAAATGAGTTAAGTAGGCAGGAACCCAGTCACATTCAGAATGATAGTGAACCCGAATTTTGGCAAAGTGTGCCACTTCTGTTTACATAGACTCTTTGCAAAGTGGAAAATAAACTCCAGATCCCACCATTAAGAATGCCTTTGGGCTAATTACTCTATCTTAATAAATGGCGTTGGCAGAATTTCTGTT